TTTAGTAGTTCTTCAAATTCCATATTTGTATACATGCTGGTTACATCGTAAGTGATTAGTAACGCATCAGTCGGGAGTTCTAAACATTCGATCTTATTGATAAAATCAGTAGTGTCCTTGATATAATTTTATTGTTTTTGTACGATGGGGATAAGAAAGTAGTCACAATATGCCCCAATTTTCCTCGTTGGTGTATTGCATTGAGCAATAATTGGCCGCCCAGGTGGTAATTGTCTGATACTGCATAGGTCATTAATGAGGGCATTTCGGACTTTGTCTTGAAGTTTGTGTATTTTAGGGAGCAGATAAAATTGGCCGCATTTGAGTGACGGATTTTTCTCTTTCAAAAATCGTAATTTTATCTATGGAGCCCCTGGAGTGCATGTCATTTATTCTTGTTTGGATAAGATCTTGCAAGTATATTAAGTTTGGCTTTTCAACTTGCATATAATGCTTTGAGAGTAACTGGCGCTCTGCTTCAGATATGTACTGATTCCTGTCCATTATAACTATAGTATTGCTTTTGTCCGCTTTTTTAATGACAATTAACATTGAGATTGTTCTTAAGCGAGGAAAGAGCGTTTCTTTCGCTATGAGTTAGGTTGTCTTGGAATGTTTTGGTTGTGATAGATGATATACTGACACGCAAAAGAAACGCAACACCCTACTTTAGGTGGAAATAATTATGTAAAGTAAAGAATTTTGTATCTTAAAATTATGAATATCTTCAATTTGGTAAACATCGGTAATTAAACGGTTGAACGATTTCCATACCATAACCGGAAGTCAAGTTTGAGTCTGCTTAACAGAAATCAAAAATTGCATGTTTAACAAAACATTTGGCAATATTATGGAGTTTTAAAGGTTTTTTACTGTTCATCATAAGTAACGCAGCATTATTTCAAAAAATAAACTCTCCTTTTGTTTCTTGTAATGATGCTAAGGCTATTTGAAAATGGCCTATGTACGCATTTCCATTGCTGTAACTGGAAAATTTCAATGTAAAGGTGATGGAGAGTTGCTGATGCGAAATTTCACTACATTACGCCTAAACAGGGTCTTACGTATCATATTCATTAAGGAAAGCCCTAGTACCGGAAGTCCAAGGGTGGCTACACTGCTCTAAGTTAGAGAAAATTCGATCTAATCATCTGAAAAACGGGCATTTAAAAATGCCAAAGAATATTTCCTTTGCTTAGATCTCGATATTAATGAACCTATTGTATCGTAGAAATTAAGCTTCAATCGTTGTTTAGGGCAGTCTTGCACGTTTTACTTCAATAGCTGGGAGGGGGGTGTTTTAACAGTCATATTTTACTTAGTAAAGTAAACAGATAAACATTTAACATTTTTGTCAAATCTCTGATGTTCTGAAAAGTGAGGTTAGCCTTACTTTATTCGCTTTTGAATATCATAAGATAAAAAAAATCAAACATTTGTAGATTACTGCTTGTTGCATTTCTTTTGCGTTTCAGTATAATTCCAACTTTGTTTTGTCAATGTATTCTTCAAATAGGCTACATGTGTAAGGGGGTTGAAAACCCGACGAAGTTCTAAATGGATGGATTTTTGAATCTGCGTGTTTACGTTTGTGTGAGTATTTATGTCTGTTAGGTGTAGTGTATTTAACCATTTTCGGTTTGACCTGTTTCTATTAATATCTTTAATCTAACTTTCCCGCGAGTAATGCTTTCCATGCATACCCAGCGCTACACCCTTGATGCAAATAGTCGTAAATTTATATGATAGCCGATTTATAGTTTTGCCTGGCAAATATATTTATTTCTTATCTATTTCTTATTATATTTGTAATTAAAAGTAAAGTCAAGAAGGATTTGTAAATTTTTATTAATTATTATGACTTTATTTCAGGTTTTTGGGAGTTGATTTTATCAACTCCTCTCTACGCACTTTCATAGAACAAAAGTGTTTCGACCTTATCATTCCTTTGAGAGAAAAATCATCAATGGAAAGTTATCGCCGCTGACAAGAATACGTATATCAAAATAATCAAGAAATTTGATGAAATACACAATCAGTTCCTTATCAAGTGATACATTTTTTTATTTGAATACATTGAAAACATTTGATGCTAAGACTAACTCTAAATAACAGAATTTTTATTTGTTACTTTTCCCACACTCGATATAACAGTGCGGAAGGTTTCAACCATCTACTCCAGCCTCTGATATGTACGAAAGCCCAGAAGGCACATTCGAGATTCAAGTTTCGAAATACGAGATTCAAAATTCGAGATTCGAAATTCGAGTTTCGAGATTCAAAATCCAGATTAACCAATCAAATGCGGTTCAACATTGATTACTCCCCTTTATTATGTTTAATCTATCAATAAATCGTTTAATATATTTATAACAAATGAGTCATTTGAATAGATTACAATGCAAGAAAGAGTGTTATATATATTAGAAAGAAAGTTAAATAATCATTTGATTTTTGATCAGCAAGATATACTTCAATTCATATTTGACTTCTTAAATATTAAATAGAATACATAACCAGGAATATACATGTATATATTTTTGTATTGTCTACTATATATAAAGGATTGTTGACATAATAATAAAGTTATAAATAGTGACTAAAGATTAACAAAATCCTTGTAGCCTTGATAAATAAAAACCGAGTATATTTTAGTCTTTGACCATAACGCTATGGTCAGAGACTAAAATATAAAACCATAACGCTATAGTTCTGCAGCTAATTTAGACTAATCTACTGTTTGATATCAGATAAAATGAATGCTGCATTTATTCTAATTCATATTTGCAATCTGTATTGTATATATAATTGTTAATTAGTTCAAGAAATCAAAGCCTTAGATGAACATAAGTAATTGAAAACTTTATTTTAATGTATTCCCTCTATTAGGAAAACGAGCGCGGTTTTTATTTATCAAGGCTACATTGCCTTTCAAAGTTTTAAAGTAACATTTTCAGTGTCGGGAAAAATTGGCAGGTGTTGCCGGTACGGGTGGGGATTTTGTTAATCTTTAGACACTATTTATAACTGTATTATTATGTCAGCAACCCTTTATATACAGTAGACGATGCAAATATATATATATATTCCTGATATATGTATTCTATTTAATATTTAAGAAGTCATAATATAAATTGAAGTATATCTTGCTGATCAAAAATCAAATGATTATTTAACTTTCCTTCTAATATATATAACACTCTTTCTTGTATTGTAATTTAATCAAATGACTCATTTGTTATAAATATATTAAACGATTTATTGATAGATTAAACATAATAAAGGGAAGTAATCAAATGTTGAACCCGTATTTGATTATTAATCTGAATTTTGAATCTCGAAACTCGAATTTCGAATCTCGAATCTCGAATGTACGAAAGTATCAGGAATATATATATTTTTGCATTGTCTACTGTATATAAAGGGTTGCTGACATAATAATACAGTTATAAATAGTGTCTAAAGATTAACAAAATCCCCACCCCTACCGGCAACACCTGCCAATTTTTCCCGACACTGAAAATGTTACTTTAAAACTTTGAAAGGCAATGTAGCCTTGATAAATAAAAACCGAGCTCGTTTTCCTAATAGAGGGAATACATTAAAATAAAGTTTTCAATTACTTATGTTCATCTAAGGCTTTAGTTTCTTGAACTAATTAACAATTATATATACAATACAGATTGCAAATATGAATTAGAATAAATGCAGCATTCATTTTATCTGATATCAAACAGTAGATTAGTCTAAATTAGCTGCAGAACTATAGCGTTATGGTTTTATATTTTAGTCTCTGACCATAGCGTTATGGTCAAAGACTAAAATATACTCGGTTTTTATTTATCAAGGCTACAAGGATTTTGTTAATCTTTAGTCACTATTTATAACTTTATTATTATGTCAACAATCCTTTATATATAGTAGACAATGCAAAAATATATATATTCCTGATTATGTATTCTATTTAATATTTAAGAAGTCATAATATAAATTGAAGTATATCTTGCTGATCAAAAATCAAATGATTATTTAACTTTCTTTCTAATATATGTAACACTATTTCTTGCATTGTAATTTATTCAAATGACTCATTTGTTATAAATATATTAAACGATTTATTAATGTTGAACCCGCATTTGATTGGTTAATCTGGATTTTGAATCTCGAAACTCGAATTTCGAATCTCGTATTTCGAACCTCGAATCTCGAATGAGCCTTTTGATTGGTTAATCTGGATCTTGAATCTCGAAACTCGAATTTCGAATCTCGAATTTTGAATCTCGTATTTCGAAACTTGAATCTCGAATGAGCCTTCTGGGCTTTCGTACGAATGAGCCTTTTGATTGGTTAATCTGGATCTTGAATCTCGAAACTCGAATTTCGAATCTCGAATTTTGAATCTCGTATTTCGAAACTTGAATCTCGAATGAGCCTTCTGGGCTTTCGTAGATATGCGCGATATACAGACACATGGTCAGTAATGTAATAAGTCCTTTGTTGGCTGTGCTGATTGGCAGATAAAAATTATCACTGACGTAGATTTTAAAAATTTCTCCAGGAAACCAAAACAACAGAGAGACAAAAATTGTTTACAGATAGTTCATATTGCACTGGCAAATAAGTTATTCTCTTTCCATCAATAGCAGAAAATAATAAGCACTTTAACATATTTTGTCCACAAACGAAATTGCACGGGGACAAAAATAAATATTCAATTATCGTGTGAAGTTATTTTAAATAGCATTGTCAGTCAGGAAAATACTAGTTACACATGCAAGCTTCTCAATCACAACGGGATTAATCATCAGATACACTTTTAAATGCATCCTGGTATACAGAGAATTGTGTCTAATTGATACAGACCATTGATGATGTAAGTGCAACGTGTAGCTGTTATGTTTACGAACTTGTATGAATATGACTGATTATCACAGCTAGCATCATGTGGTAAGTTTGTACTTCTGATGTCTAATATGTGTTAAGGTTCTATAGCCGCAGATAAGATCTTCCCACTGCAGCAGAAGTGACCTATTGGACAAGCTTAACCTCTGATTTAACAGCCGTTTTCTTTGTGCCCAAAATGATAATTATTGATAGTATACACAGGTCGGATAAATTTTTATCAATTAATCTTAATGCATACTAATAATTTTTGCAGCAATATTGTTCATGTAATTATCTCAATAATATGTTCACTGGTGAAAGAGCAGGATTCGGAATGGAATATTATTCAGTTTCTAACAATAACAAAAGAAATGATACAATTAAAAATGGATTATGCTATATGCAATAAGCACATGTCTCTGAGAACGGACCCAGCGTTTTTATGGTACCTCATGGGTTTTTCGACGACCGTTACATACATATAATATTCATATCCTTCTATGAAATATTCACAAAATATTACTGTTGGAAAATCTAAAATATGTAATAAAACTATAACCTTTTAATAAAATACACCCTCTCTGTAACTACAAAAGAGGAAACTTGACGACAAAATTAAAGTTCTAGGTTATCATTTTCGATTTTTCTGAATTCAAAATTCAGTACTTAATGTTAAACATTTTGCGTCTCATGTTCTTTCTCTTTTACTCAAAAGAATATCAACTTTATCAATTCCCCTTCATCCAGGCATTAAATTACTACATTTAGTATCATTTACATTTTGTTAACCCTTTGGTTATATTTTTTTATCAGCATATATAAAAAGAGAGGGGGCATCCCTGCGCAATGTGCAAAACAAATTATGAATTTTCTGTTTATCGCTGAATAATTTCCAAAAAAACCCTTAAACCTTGGTCATATCTTTTGAATGAGAAGAGACAGGACTTTCATATCACATATTTATGTATATTTAATTTGCCTTTGAAAAGACTTTTCTAAAAGCACTATGATTATGACCCTGACCTGTTAATTTAACCTACTTTTCAAAAGTGTAAACATTACTTAATAAATTATAATATCAGTCAAAATTTTGAAAGAGATTTTTATACTAAACATGTGTTTTACCTGTGAAAACACCATTTTAGATACAGTATGATTTTGACCATGTGACTTTGAAGTTCGATCTACTTTTCACCTTGGTTAAAACTTTTTGATGAGAAGATTTAGAGCTTTCACATTTCAAATTATATAACCTTTGACAAGACTTTCTAAATACTTAGTAACTAAAAAGAATATTATCACGTGAGCTCGTTTGACCTATTTTTCAAAAATGTTGTTTTTTTTCTTATTACTTTTGATAGAGAAGAGATTTGGATTTTTTGTGATCTGTGGCAAGATGTTTTCGAGTATGCAATAATTTCTGACCCCTTAATCTTGACCTTCATGTTTGACCAAAATTTAAAAAGAAACAACTTTGGTGGTAACTTTTGAATTTTATAAGATAGGGCGTTCATATTTGGCATAATTTGTCATTAATAATAGCATCTCACCCACAAAAAACCGAAAGCTAGGGACCACAATTCTTTGAATTTCCATTATTTTTTTTTTTAAATATGTCTTAAATGAGATTTTCAGCTGTGTAAAAAAAGCTATAATTACACTTTTTTATTGTTTGATTTTCGCATACTTAATTTGAAGCATTAATGATACTTTTTTTTAAAGTTGTGTACAAAATAAGGTGTAAAACAAAACCGTCATTAAAATCAACTCCCATCAGTACTTTCAGTACTTTGATTGTTATAGCGAGCGCAGCGAGCATCGCAAAGCGACGTTCGTCACTGCGAGCTCTTAGATCAACGCCTGTACGTAGAGTAAATTTGGACTAGTGCACATTCATTCGAATTCATTAGAATTCATTAGAATTTTTTGACGCAGTAATTTGGACCCACAATGCATCACTTGTTAAAGCTACGTATACAAAGGTTCAACTAAAAGTAATCATGCCCTGATTTAATGGCCAAATATTGAAGATAAAGAGTAAACGAAAAGTTTTTCATTTACTTTTAGCACTGTTCAGGCTTCTTTTTTGAAATGTAAGTTACATACGACGTCATGTGACGTCAGCGTCTAGACGCACCAAATTTCACCTGCAGTTTGACGAGCCCGATCTAAATTATTACAAAATAAATATCTGCGTTCGCTATAACGGTCGCACCGTTAATTATTAAAATCACCATCATTAAACATAGGTCAACCTAAAAACTGACTTATGTCTGGATGTCTAATAATAATGAATCCAAGATCTATCGACATGATCTACATTTTGAAAATGAGTGACTCAAATTTCGCACGGGCCATTCGAAGAATTGTTTACATTTTGTTCTTATTCCAACTAAGATGGCCGGACACCCCCCTTAACCAACGAGACATTAATAAAACAGTATACTTAGAGTATTGAATGAACATAACCCTTACAAGACTTCTTTGATTTCAGTTGGTTAAAAATTTAAATACACAAAACTGTTTTAATGCTTCATCAAATGTTTCATCAAAAGATCTCCATATTTGTAAATTTCATCGATTTTGTTTGATCTTGTTTTGATAAATTTTATTACTAATATAATTTTCATATCTCGATTTGCTAAAAATCATAAAATATGGAGGGGGTATGATGGCAAACGTGCAATATTAAGAGAGCTATATATCATCTCTATAAATATCTTTTATAAAACATGTGCTTTTTTGTGACGCATATATCTTCCTGGTTTATATATTAAGAGAGGTAAGTGATCTTATGACTTCTGATATATTAAAAAATTGGGCATCATTAATTTTATTATGAAAATATACCAGTTTTTATATCTATACTATAGTAATTCATGCATTCATTTTCACGACTAATAAAAGCTAATGTACATATGTCTCAATAAGCGAAGGATTAACAATGCTTCGTTTGGGCTCTTTGCTTTATCAGCATTTGATGTACTTCCGTATGAAACGCCATTTTGGTTCCAAATAATCAGATTATTCTGTCCTGAGTAAATTTACCAAACACACCGATAAGTCACCAGGTGTACCATAACATGCTGGGCCTATATTCTTTTGTGAACGAAACATATAAATTATTCCTTATGAGCGACTAGGGCTCCTGGGCTTTATTATAAGAACATTAATTTTTTCCCTGTATGTTCAAATGCGAATGATTTATGCACATACTATATGTATTAACTTATAAAGAGGAAATAAGAAGATACGAAATAAACAAGAGGCCAAAAGGCCTTATTGGTCACCTGAGAATAAATCAACAATTTAAAGTACTATCTATTTAAGTAAGAAAAATAAACTTGAAAGGGAGAGATGAAGATATAAATTTATGGAGCCAAACGGAATAGTATAGGAAATAATCAATAAAATAGTTACAATGTAGTCTAGGTATCAGATATTAATCTTTAAATGAATTTAGATCTTTCTACCTGTCATTACTTTTGCATTTTCTTCTTTCACTGTTATCATCAAGAATAAACAATTTAATAGTAGTTGAAGACATATACTATACCTTATCCATTCCATCACACACAGGCCTCTGCTGGTCTTTTATGAGTGTATAAAGTACGGAGATAATGTTTATCTCATTTGTTACATATTTATTTTTTACATAATACACCCATACGGGTCAGGAAATTACAAACAATATATATATATATATATACATGTATATATATATATATAATTTTTCTTATATATTCCAAGCTCTCGGATTGGCTCAAACTTGATCACATGATCAATTATATAACAGCATAAAGACTTGAGTTACTATTTATAGATTCTTAAATGCATATCGACCTAATAATGTTTTTAAAAATGGAAAAAGTTTTCTGTAAAACAACATTTGTGCTGGATTCTTAACAGCTAAGACAGAGTATGACTTGATTTCTCTAAAAAAATAAAGTACTTTAGCTCTTTATTTATTTGTGATATTCTGTAATAATAAGTAAGACATAGGATGCCTTGAAGAAGAATCTAATTTATGTTAAAACCTGTAATAGATATGTTTTCTTCAAAAATCAATACAAAATTTAATTAGACAAATTAGCTTTTTAACAAAGGAAATCCCTTAAATTATTCTATCGGTACAAAAAAAAACACAATGCATTATTAAACAGATTTTTTTTAAATCTCTAGTCTCTCAGTGTTAAAAAAAAGACAAGCGAGTTGTGATTTTGTCAATCTCTGTAAAAAAAATATAACAAATGTAGCCCTTTAATTCGGTCAATCCATAGATATATCGACTTCACTTTGTGCTCGGTCGATATGCTTTTCTGTAAAGTCGATATATCTATGGATCGACCTCATCAAAGGGCTATATTTATATGACACACATTTACACATTTTAAATTGTTTTGACAATAAGGTAAATGTTAGGAATGACACCTCTCGACTAACTTGGTCCTCATTTTTGCAGTTCTAAGTTTAGTGCATGCTTTATAAAGTCTCACACTGCCAACTAAAGTTCATATTTTGGATTTAAACTTGTTGCGTTTTCTTACTGACTTGCCTTTTATGAAGAAAATCTAGTGTTTATCTTATTGAATTTAGAAAATAATTAATTTCCGAGAAAAAGATTTCATTTACAGTCAAGATAGAAGTGATATTCATCATTTTGATTTATCATATTTTTTTACAAAGTCTATAATATCTTGGAATATTTATGATTTCACCATTTTCAATTCCTAAATATGATCACTTACTTTAAATTTTGAAATAGGCTGTCTTGTAGTTTGTTTTTTTTTCTTATAATACGTTTTCTTCTATTCTAATATCAGTTTTAGCTCACCTGAGCCTATTTTCAACAACAACAAAGCCATGATTGATCATATTTATATGAAAGCATTTTCAGTTGGTGTTGATTCAAGTTTGTTTACATCATGACCCCGGTTGTAGGCAGGGGCCACAAGGAACAATTTAAGTTTTACATAAGAATACATAGGGAAATTTTTAAAAGTCTTCTTTTAGAACAGCATAGCCATGATTAATCATAAATACATGTATATGGAAGCATCATCAATGAGTGTAGATCCAGGTTTTTTTACGATGTGGACACAACGAGGGTTTTAAGTTTTACATTGACTTATATACGAAAATATCGTTTAAATCTTTTTAAGAACAAACCAATAATTCTTCATATATATATATATATATATATATATATATATATATAGGGA